TAATTATTTTTATCTATTTTTCAAACAACTTTTATAGATAAATTACATAATTAATTCATCTATAAAATATAGGAATATATGTATTTTATGTCTATTTAAAAATTATAAAAAAGGGAGTAAATTTTTTGAATTGGTCCTTTCAGACACAAACCACAATTATTTGTTTGTGGAGTTTAATGTTTATTTAACTCTTTTATATTTTATTACAAATATTTTTGTATTGTAAATAACAAATACACCTTTAAAATAAATTTCGAATGAGATAAAAAAAGAGAAAATAGAATAAAAAATTAAAACTACTTATTTTAAATAAAAATTACTCTTTCCCTTATTACCATTCTTTTCGTACACGTATTATTGGTATTACTAGTAAAAAACATTTTTTATCAATTCCTTTAAATTTTATTTTTAGCACATTATTATTTCATCAAAAAGGGGTCTAACCTTTATATCTATCATATTTAATACTCGTGCATACACGTAGTAAGATAATGTATAATTTTTAAGTCAGCGTTAAAATCTATTTTAGTAGTAAACATGTATAATTGACTCAAGCTAAAAGTACGTATGAAATATTATTACGTCATATTAATATTATATAGAGGCCGATAAAAACTTAAGTTACGCCCACTTATTTTATTATGGTTGAAGATAAAACTAATAATTTGTTACCTTTCTATTATAAAAGCTAACAACTATTAGTGGCTAATATAAAAATTATAGATTATTAACTACACAAAATATAAAAGAAAACAATTTTATTTTATTCTTGAAAATTACTTTAGTAGTAGTTAAATATTCCATAGGGTGGTTTATGAAGAACATAATAAAAATTGACTTACTTCGCTATCATTCCAATGTAACTTGAGTTGATATTCAGAAAGGACACTATTCTTGTTAACGTCTTCTAAAGCAAGCCGGACAGCTGGCTCACAAGCTTGTCCTCCTTGCCATCCTCCTTTTCCATTAATAGGAAAGATGCCACCGATATGTAACACTTTATCATCCTGTTGTAAAGAAGACTGTACGCTGGTGAAAATCAACAAAAACAAAAGCAATATGAAATTTAACAACATATTGTAACTGATTTTATATTCGACCCGTGGAGGTCGTAGTTTTATTAAATTATATGTAAATAATGACGATCATGGTTAATAATTTTGTTTGGAAAGTTCTAACAAAGAGCGGAGTAAACCACATAGCTTGCGTTTCGCCACTACGACTGGGCGATTTGTGGGGATTGGAGCGCTACGATCGTATTGATTTTTTTCCCGGGTCTAAAGTATGATATATCTATACATACATTTCCAAAAGTTTACGGTACAAACATCATCCTCTTACTATAACTGTATAACTATACTAGTTATAAATATTTAAACTTGTTTAACGACTTGAAAGATATAAACTGTGTGATACAGCACAAAAATACTTTAATATTATATTGTATAACACTTAAAAGTGTTTAATTTAAAATAATTAAATAAATTTCATGAATAAGTTTTACACAAACTATAAATCAGCAAGTTTAAAAATTACATGTCTTCTACAATACAAATTTAATTTTTTCATTATTGCATTTACATATTATTTTTTTAAGTCAAACAAAAATTAAAATGTAAAAATATTTATATATATTAATCTTATTTATTTTTAATAGTATATTATTTTAATCTAATTAAAACTCCATAATATGTATGTTAAAAGTTGAAAGAGTTCCTTAATTTCAGGGACTAGGGCCATAGTTCTTTATAGGTTCGGGTTCTATAAAAGTTTATCTTAAGATACTGTAATTGTTCTGTTTTTTCGTACTTATAATATTATTTTTCCATAAAAGGTTTCAATCCAAAATGATTAATTAAATTATTGCTCAAAAACCTTCTCAGGATTTTGTCTTGGGGGATATACGTGTAATAAATTTTCACTACAATTATAAGAAGAACGATCGTCCTTAAAACGAAAATAATTACAAAATTAAAGTATATTTTTTCTCTGGGAAAGGTTAGTAAATATTTTTCTTATTAATATTCGCCCCTAGATTAAACTAACAAAAAATACCTTAGACCTGATATGAATTGATAGATTAACCGTCCTCTAGTTTATTGTAATTAAATAAATGTCTCATAGGGTTAAAAACTATTCAGAATAAAAAAATGAAAAATTAAAACAAATTATCTAGTTTAACTAAAAACCCCTTCAGATTTTAATACGGAATTTATATTAATATATATTAATTAATCTTTGAGTTATTGCACTATCATCTTGTTGATACGATGTTAGTCATTATGCGAATAAAAACCTAAAAACCTTTATCTTTAAGAAATAAGTAAATAAAAATAGGTTCCGGTAAATTTCTTGTCATTAACTTGTTTTAGTTTGTTGATGATTGCTCCAGTACTAGCGTACAATATTAGTTAAATATACTTCAAAAATATTCTTTTATTAAATCATTTTCAAGCTGCTGACTATATTCTCTCAGTAATGATTGATGAATGGTCTCGTTATTATTGTGTAAATACATAATGGTTATATCCTTTTGTTTTAATTGTACAAACGTAGCATTGAATACATCTCGATTATCTAAGGTGATTACAAGAAACTGAATTTTAATGAGAAAATAACAAAACTTATGCGAAAATAAATATTTTAAAAATAGTTCTCATAGCATAACACTATATTGAAAACGATTGTTTTTGAACAGAGGTCACAACCATGTTTTTTAACTGGTAATAATTGGTATGTCATATTTGTGTAGTATTTGTCTGCGTTGTCGTTCAGTTTGTATGTCGATTTTAAGTTGTTCGATATGTCATTTAGTCTTCTCGCCAAAGTGATTGCGTGTTTATTATGTTTAAATGGCTGTTTAAGTGAACTCAGAATGGTATACCACTGGGATAAAATTAAACTATCGACAAATGGTAGAGAGCTAACTAACTTAGAACCGTATATACCCGAAAATAATATTGTACATCGGCTAAGGATATGGAACAACACACTGTATTTTGCTGTTCCGAGATTCAGACCTGGTGTACCAGCAACGTTATGTCAGAGTTCTAAGGTGGACGTAGTCGAACCATTTCCGTTATTAGGTTTTCAAACCGTAGNTATCCGTCATTAGGTTTTCAAACCGTAGGAAACTGCTTCGGTTTACAGAATATCAAAGATATCGAAGTGGATCATCTAGGACAACTATGGGCATTAGACGTCGGAAAAGTGTACGACATGTACCAAGCCAACTATACGTGTGATCCTAAATTAGTGGTAATTGATCTTAGATCAAATAAAATTGTTCGGTCAGCAATTTTGCCAAAGTCCATGTTCACAATTCAAAGTGTACTCAGTGGCCTCACAATTGACTTAAAAACTATGATGGCCATAATCACCGATTTAGGACCTGACCCAGGTTTTATTGCGTACAACTTTCAAACAGGAATCTACCAAAAGTTTAGTTGTCAAATTCTGTATGGAAAGAAAGGTTACGATGAGGCTCAAATGGTGGTCTCAGCTATCGATAGCTTATTATATTTTACAACGGTACAACTGGACAAACTTTACACAATACCAATGAGTGTATTTGATGCATCATTACTAATTGATGTTAGCCATCATGTTAATAATCAAGGATTTAAACCAGATAAGTCAACGGCTATGACATTTGATACAGCCGGAAATTTGTTTTTAGCAATGCCAAAAAAAATAATAGTTTGGAATACACTTAGACACAACTTTGAAGTTACAGAGCTATACACACAAGATATAAGGCTAGAATGGATTACTAGCTTGGCATTCGATACACATGGATTTATATGGATAACTACATCAGCTTTTAGAAGTTTTCTAGATGGGTCAGAACCAAGAAAACCTAATATGAAAATATACAAAAGATATTGCGGTACTACTGCATTTGCGCTCCAAGGCACATTTTCTCCAATGAATACATCAAATTTAACTAATTCAGCAAACAGAAAAAATATACAAAATATTTATACCTTAATAGCTATTTTTTTAACTGTATTAAATTTCTGTTAACCAATAAAAATGACGTAATATTGAGTGAATTTCTTAGGTAAATTGAGTTAATAACGTTAAATAACTCAATAAACATTAACTATCAATGTTAATAATTAGAAAAGTTATTATTACGGATACACAAGTACTCTTTTTAATTAGTTTTATTTATTCTGCATGTAAAAGTTGTTTTATAACCATAATATTTTCCATACTCGAGGGTTATTTGTTTTGAAACTTCCTTCAGATAATTAAATTGACTAATTATCCCTTAAATGTAAATAATAATTTTGAATAATGGGAGATTTTAGTCTACATTCAAATAAAAAATTTTTTATAATGTGTTTTAATGAAATTATTTGAAGAATAATCGAACAAAAACCAATTTTTTAAAATTTACAAAATCACAGTTTTTCGTTTATTAGATATTGTAGCTACTTCCTTTTATTAGAAAGTTTATAGGCATTATTCAAATAAAAGTATTAATAGTGCTTTTAAAAATTTAACGTCCGTGTGTTTTTTTTCTAATAATTTATACTTGATATTTGTACAAAATCATTTTTTAATTATCACCTTAATACTTATTAAAATTAAGGTCAGTTGTTAATTTTCTCTTTCGGTATATAATTTTAATAGACAACAAAACATGTTTATATGTATAAAATAAAATTTATTTTAAAATTAAAAAATAGGTTTTATTTAAAAAAAAAAGTAATTTTTATTTCATAATTACTACTCTTTTGGTAAGTGTTGGTTAAAATTAAAAAAATATCAGACTTGTTTACTGTAAAATTAGTTTATATTAACTCAACATTGATAAATGTTAATATAAATATTAATAAATGTAATGAATTAAAAATAGAACAATTAAATAACTTTTTATTTATTAAAATGATTAATCTAATTGGTGAGCTATTAGAATTTTTAAGCATTTATTAAGAAGCAAAAGTTTTTTTTATTGTTTTTAATTGTTACTGTAAATTTTGTGGTAGAGATTTCCAGAAACACTCATTTCTCATTTATTTTAATGTTAATGTCAAAAATATTTAAATACAAAATTAAGCTCTTATTTAACATACATTTCAATAAACATAAATACAGCCAAGAGAAGTAACATTAATAAAGATAAAGAGTTTTAATTCAATTTAACATCCAATTTTTCATTATAAATGTCAGAAGAATTTTTTTCTCCTGATTCTAATTGTACTGTTACTGGTCCATCATTTAGAATTTCAACTTCCATTTTACCTCCAAAAACTCCATCTGAAATTCATTACACACATTTAAATAGAAAATCAAAATAGTATGAAATATTATTTGAACATCAAAGATCATTTTTATACATCAAACTTAACAATAAAAACTGATCAATATTCTGGTTAATTTTGATATTATTAATACGTAAAAGAATTAATAAATAGTTTATAAATATGTAACTATTTGTAATATTACCTTTAATTTTGGTTTCACTATAAAAATTTTTCAAAGAATCTAAAAAATATTGGTAATTTTGACGAGCATTATCACCTGGCATAGCCTGATGAAAGTCCAGTTTATTACCTTTCAACTTATAACATAATGTAAATTGACTAATAGATAAGATCTCATATCCCATATCAACAACATTAGCATGCCATTTTTTACCTTCATCATCAAAAAGCCGGAGTTTTAAAATTTTTTGAACCCTAAAATAAATACAGCATCAATTCTATGAAATAAATTTTATTTACACAATTTATACGAATAATAACACAAAAAATTTTAATTCTTACATTTTACAATTGAAAATGGAAATTAAATTTATCAAACTCACTAACATATAATCAATATCAGTTCTTTGGTCAAATTTATGCAATCCAACTAGTAAGCATAAACCATTTTTTATTGAATTTACTTCTTGGCTATCAACTAAAAATTAAATAGAATTAAATACAGAAGTAATAACTATCAGCATTAAATATTATAATTGTTATTTAAAAATCATAAGAGTATGAATATTTCAAATTATTTTAAAAGTATAACCTACCTGTAACTTTAGCTCTCAAAACGCGTTGCACAACTACTTTCATATTATCTTATAAAAAAAAATATGAAATTCAATATTAATAAAATAATGTATAACGCAATATCTATTTTTATGTCACGAGTCAATCAGAATAATTAATGTAATACAGCTAAGCTCTATAGATAGATTTTAATTACAAATCTAAAGTATTTTTGCTTAGATAGAGGTATTCTGGGAAGATAATATGTGATATTTGGACATATTAAGAGGAAAATTGAATTTGACCCTAAATTTTGCTAAATTATAATATATACAATTGCAAGTATGATTTCCTAAAGACGTCTAAGGATTTTTATCAGTTTCCATTTATTATTTGAAAAAGTTTTAGTACTTGATGATAATATTGCTTTTATTATGATAACAACTAAGTTATTTACCACTTGTAGCGCTAGAATTCTAGTGTAAAATGAAATTTATCTGAAAACCAGAATTTCATTTTTTTTTTTTTTTTAAAAGTAATAATACTAAGTATCTCTTAGATAGATGTCATTAGAATCCGAACCAAGTGTCATAGCTGGGAGGCTTAGGTAACATTACTCCTCCCATTGACGCCAATTGGAATTTCTAAAATAAAGTAATGAATAAAAAAATAAAATTTTAAAATATGGAACTGTGTAATTTTTTTCATTATACTCATTTTGAAATTCTGACTAAGCCACTATTCGAATCTGTACCTATGGAAAACTATGATTCCAATCCCTGGTCTTATTATACCTAAAATTTTAAGAATTAAAAAAATGATTTTAATTACTAAGATCCTAATGAATATTAATTTGAAAACTCAAGTTTTTAAAAATTGTAAATAAGCACACAATTTACTTGTTTACTTAGATATGTCTGAATTATATATAGTTAATTAGATATACCCCATTCAAATTACGTATTCAATGAATCTTATAAATTTAAGTAAATTTTATTAAGTAGAAACTTACTTAACTTAACTTGTTAGTTAGACTGATGTGCATTAGAGATAACGTGAGTTACCTGAAGATTGTCATACGACAGGTAAGAGCGGCTCACACTTTTGTCGACCGTTTAGAAAAAAAAGACTAATTTGCATTGTTTTATTGCATACAATTATATATAATAGGTAATATATTTATTGACATTCCAATAATTTCACATCATTCATTTAAACAGAGGCGAATGAGGAGGACTAGCGCTTTTCACTAGGTAATGCGCGCGCTTACCCCGAGCAACCATATAACGCATGGAAGTTTTGGTAGTATTTGTCGGGTATTCGCATCTCATAGCACCACTCTTATTGATCCGCTCCAAGTTGGACCCCCACTGACGACGTAGCCTGCTTTACTACTGCTGTCGTCGTCGTCTACCTGTGGAGCACAGTAGACACAGTCATTTATGCGGGTCATATCGCTTAAAAAGGTAATTAAAAACAAAAATTGAAAGCGGGTTAACACGTTGAAAAAGTAAAACACTCATAATCATATAAAAATATGTAATTACCGCCTAATTAAAATACAAACATATTTTAAAAATTGCACGAATGTTATTTTGACAAAATGACACAGTTATAGAAAACAACCCATATGGGTTAACTCATGATCATTTATCGGACTTTTTAGTATACTTGCAGACTCTGCTTCTCCTGCATTTTATTATAAAAATTTTTTGTTTTAATCTACAGATATATGAAAAATTTCATCATTATGGCAATGCACGGTATCGTTCTCTTTTTAGCAATGGTTCCTATATGCGTCATCGCATATGGCAAATTTTCCGAAAATATCAAAGTAAGTTAAAAAGCTCAATATTTAATATTAAAATTTTACTTTTATCAATAAAACTTTGAACTAAATCAAATAAGTAATTCACTTACTAAACGTTTAACAAAAAAAATAGTTAGGAAGCCGTCTAACAAATACTATTTTGTTTTAAGTCTGTATGTTCAATTCAGATTTTAATTGAAATGTATAATAAAAAGTACTAAGTAAAAATATTATCTTTACCGATAAGTTGTCGCCTGAGAATGAAAACGTTCTAACGAAGAAACAGATGTTTTTTCAATGAATCGTTTTTAAAAATAAAATTATTTTATAGTTATATAGAACTTTAAATTTGTTTATGTAAGTTAACTCGCTATTTAAAAAGAGTAACGAATTCATTCAAGACTAAAAAGATGCGTATTTAATTTTTGAATGTAATAATTGAGAAAAAAAAAATAAAAATGATTATGTTAGAACCTTTTCATTTTTTGGTTACGAACTCCAACTCTAGAATTAGTTAAACAATTATTATCTACTTTTTATTTTGACAGTAAATGTATTTACAATCTATACTCTACAGTACCGGTATTAGTATTTTCAGCAATTTTTCATTGGAAAAGAAATATTTTGTCGCTCCATATTTAACGTACTACTTTTTTTTTAAGTGACCAGCAAAAAATAAAAAACCTTTTTAACTTATAAAAATATAATGGTACATGATATTTGACACATGACAATAGCATTTTCCTGACAGAAATGTTATGTGTCGTCGCACACGTTGGTTAAATTTAAATCCGATATTGTTATATAAAACATTGTGTAAATTATACAATATATAAAAATGTATAAAAACATTTAATATGAAATTCATTGTAAATTAAATGTGTAAGTTATTTATAATTTTGTAGAGCTCTGAGTACATGCGAACAAAACTCTTAGAAAATGTCATCAACCAACTTGAAAAAGAAATAGCTAAGTCAGAAATAAATAATAAGTATCTACAGTTAGGTCAAATGAAAAATTCATATCAAGATTCGGAAAACTTTATGGATTATGAGGATGATATTGAGGAAACTAACATAATGCCGGCTATCCGGGATAACGAATATTTACAACACAGTACTTTATGGGGTGCACATTATGTAAGCGGTAAGTTCTATTGAAAATATACATATTGATGTCTTAGGTAATGATGTAAATTAACAACATGTTATTTGAGAAATAGGTGGCGCAGGAGAAGGAATTCAAACTTTAAATCCAGAAAATCCTTTAAAAAATAAAAATGAAGTAAAAACAGATTCTACACTACCTGCTTATTGCAATCCACCAAATCCATGTCCTGTTGGTTATACAGGTATGAATATAATCTTTCTAATCATACTTCTATGTTATATTAATTGATTATTTCGTTTAAATATGTAATAGTGTAATTAAAAAATGAAATTAATTTTAATTAAAAAGTTTCATGTTAATATGAGAACATTGGAGTGTTAAGAGTTGGTAAAGAGGGTCAAGTGTATTTTTTACTGGCCATATGAAGATTTAAAAGTATTTGTTGATTTTTTGAAAATTTTTATTATTGTTTACCCCTCCACATTTAAATTTGTAAAAACGTGTTTGAATGAGAATAATGAAGATAAAAATAATTTTGTTATTTTAAAGGCTATATTTTAATTATTCATAAAATATTACAGAGGAAGATGGTTGTATAATTGATTTTGAAAATACAGCAGCATTTAGTCGAGAATATCAAGAATCACAAGAATGTATGTGTGATTCTGAACATATGTTTGATTGTGGTCGAGCAAATTCTGTCAACAAGAATAATGTTGATGTAGATGAATTAGTCAGAAAATTTCAAGTAATAATATAATAAAAAAAATGCAAAAATATAATTTTAATGTTTTTCTTTTTAAGGTCGAGGATGAACATAAAAACTTAGTAGCAAAAAAATTTCATGTGAAAAAGGTAGATTTAGTATTAATTTAGCTAATTTAATATTAAATAATTTGAAAAATGTTTAACAGTTTGACTATTTTAACACTAAATTTTATCAAACTATTGTATAAATATTTATTTTTAGGCGTTTAATCCGTATTTACAAGGAGAGTTTCTTCCTATTGCAGCCAAAAAAGGAATTGGATTTTAATTTGAAATTTTATTCATATTAAAAATACATCTATTCTGAAATAGAGATTCTCATCTTAACAGTGTCAAAAATAGAACTTCAATACATACATTTTTATATTATGATTTTATCAATAAGGATACTTTTTATTTCTTCCAATAAATTAACTTTTATCAATAATTTTTTAAATCAGTAAGTGTAACATATACTTATTTATTATTTGAATAATTGCATTAAATAGAATGTGTATACCATAAATGATAAAATAAATTATGTTAAATATACCAATAAAAAACTTGACCAGATAAATTAAATTAAATATTTATTTTGGTACAATATTAAAAAAAACTATTTTTATAGACTAGAAAAATATTTTTTTAATTCATTTAAAATGTCTTTAGAGTTATAATGATTTGGATAAACTTCAAGAGATTTCTTTATCATCACATAGCTAGATTGGTGATCACCTTCCTGAAAATAATTATCATTGCTATAATACTAGTATATAAGTAACAGTACTATATTGACTTTTTTTGAAATTCATTCAATGAAAACTCAAGAATATCTAATAAACATTTAACATATACGTTATTTGTATATTTATAAAGATATAAGTATAAAACTGAATTACCTCTTGAGCTAATATAGCTTTATTATAAAATGGTTCATAAAGATGATCTTCTGCAGCAATAGCTGAATTTAATAATGATTTAGCTTTAGAAATGTCATTTTTGAACCACTGTAATACAGCAAGGTTGTTGAGAACTGCAGCATGGGAACTATTTATAGATAATGCTAAATGCAAACAATTTTCAGCTATATCTAAATCTCCAAATCCCTACATAACATAATTTTTTTTATTTATTAATACATTAGTTAAATATTTTATAAAATAATTCACTCCTGAAGCAATAATTTAAGTTCAATATTGTATAAATTCAAAATTTTAAATGTCATTATTTTTTTTACAATAAATTTATAATTTGACACTTTCTACAGTAATCATTGATTCATTATAATTAACAATGCTATACTATATAACTTATTTATAAGTATATGCAACATATATTTGATTAATTTGTGAATTTTTACATCAATAACATATATTTCACTTAATGTAAATGTTTAACAAACACTACATTTTGTATAGGATGTAGTTAAATAAATTTGGATTTACCCACATTTAATGAAGTTTTTTTTTTTTGAAATTAGGATTCAATATGTTATTTATATTTAAAAAAATGAACACCTAATTACTTTAACTTTAACGTTATTAAATCTATCTAAACATTAATTATTCAATAGAGAGGCTGTTATTTATGAATTGTGTGAGTATAAATATAAAATACTTACAATAGCCACATGACTAATATTATACCATACATCTGCAGCATTATCATCTAAAGCAAGTCGTAGAGCATTTTCAAAGCAGACCACAACTACATCAAATTGTTGGGCATAAAAAGAACATAACCCTAAGTTGTTGAATATTTCAGTATTATATAATCCCATTTGCAGCAATCTCCTGAAATATTTAATAATAAATACTATAAAAATGGTCTACTAAAAATTGAATTGAATATAATATTAACGTTTATCATAAAAATTAAAACAAGGCTTGAAGCTTTAAGCAAAGGTATATAAAACAAGTAAAAGTGAAAATTGTTTTTCTTTGCTCGTCTATTTGAAAAAAATATTTAAATAATCTTTTTTTGGAGAAAAATAATTCTTACCAAGTTGCTGAAAATTCTAAAATTGGTACTGATTGGAATAGTTTTCTATACTCTATACTTCTAATTTTCTATTTAAAAACAGATACTTTTTTTTTTATAACTTAAAATTAGTCCAAAATTTATCTAATATTATAATGAAATCAATTCATTAAAAAATATAGTTGGCTTAATGTACTAATTAGTATTATTTTTACTAAATATATTAAGAAGCACCATTTTAGAATTTGTTTGTATTATAGTTTTACGCCTAACTTATGAAGTTTTTAACAGGTTGTTAGTATATTATCCTTATAATATTTAGTTAGTATCAACCTTCAAAAGACTCCAGGGAAAAAAACAGCATGAATGAAGAAGTCATTACTGAAACTGAGGCGTATTTTAAGGGCAAAGATAAATTGTTCTATTTGAAATGCATAAAAATGTTAGAATGACACTGGAATGAATGTACATTCT